TTGTTTTTTTAATTTAGTTTTGATTATTTTATTATTATTTTTTATAGGCTTGTTTTAAGATGTTTTGTTTTTTTTGTTATTAGTGTGACTGATTATTATTTTATTATTGTGCATTTACTGTGATAATTGAAATATTGTTTACTTTGTTGGATCATTATCTTCCTATGTCATACCGTGTTACTACTAAAGAAGCACAAAGTAATTATCATTTTATTTCAACTCATTTTGTGAAGTTGTTGATACGTTTGACATGGTTATTATAAATTTCGTAAATCCCTGTTCTTTTTTATTAGTGCCATGTTTAAAACATTGTATTTTTAAAAATGAATTTTTATCTTTGAAAATATTATTTTTTTTAAACAAACACCTATAAAAAAATAGCGGTTTTCCCCAAATGTTGAAAAAAAATATTGAAACCCAGATTTTGAATACCTAAAGGAAAAAAAAGTTCTATTTTTTTTGAAAAGTTTAGTATCTCGTATAAAAATGGAAAATTTAAATTTGGTCTAGAACCATTATTTTCTTTAATTTATAAAAAGATTTTTATTCATTTTTAATTCTTTCATTGCTATTTTTTTGGGTTTAAATACTAAAACCCAAATTTAAATTGCTTAAAAAGCCCTTTTAAATTTAATTGGGCCCCAATTCACATAGCAACACTGTTATGTTATGTAATAAATTTTTTAAATGTTGCAATGTATTTTAATCTTTGGAAAATTCCCTGAATTACTATTTTTTTCTTTAAAACGGGCCTGTTAGAATGGGGGTTTTGACAAATATTTTTTTTAAATACTGACAAACGTTTGGAAATGAAAGATAAAAACTTCCAAGAAAAAAAAATGTTCTCCCATTTTTTTATAAAATAAACCGTGATATGAAAATTCTTTTTAATGTTTTAAATTTTTTTCTCGGGTAAATTAAAAAAAAGTCCTTGTAGAATTTAAAATTTAAAAAATTTAAAAAATTTATCCCATAGTTAAATTGAGTTTCCCCTTTTCCTGTTCCCCTCACTATTTCCCCTTTTGATCGGGCAAAAATGTACTTTAAAATGTTGGGAAAATTATTTAAATTTTTTAAATAAAGGGTGATTTTTTTCAATATGGTCTTTTGTAAATTGAAGAGATGCACTATTTTTATGAGCGTATAGTCGCCGCCTTGTCTGTCTGTCCTGTCCGACCGTTGTCTTGTCCGAAACATAACTTAAACACCCTAAGAGATAATTTGTTTAAACTTCACACAGTGGTTAGAATGAGGCACATCAAGGGGAGTGCAGTGCACAAGAACTGTAACTCTGCCATTACCTAATTTTGGAGTTTTGTTCATTTTTACACTTATAACTGTGTCCGGAACATTACTTCTAAAATTATAAAAGATTATCAACATGAAACTTTGTGAGATAGATCTCATCGGGTGGAAGTGCAGTGCAAAAGAATCATAACTCTTCTCAGCCCCTGTTTTTTGAATTATCCTGCTTTTAGAAAAAATTTTGTACTGGACATAACTCTAAACTATTAGAGATATTCAACATGAAACTTTGTAGGTAGATAGATTCCAGTGGTAGCTGTGCAGTACACAGAAAACGTTACTCTGCCATGCCTAATTTTGGAGTTATTGCCTTTTTTGTTCATTTTTTACACTTTTTCCAGAACGTAAACTCTAAAATTATAAGGAATATCAACATGAAAACTGTTGTACGTAGATCTCATTGGGTTGAAAATGCATTGCAAAAAACCATAACTGGTTAGCCCTGTAATTGAATTATCTCCCTTTTAGGAAAGGTCATGTCTGAGACATCACTCTATAAATTTTAAGAGATTTTAACATGAAAATTTGTGGTACATAATCTCAATAAAAGGTTTTTGAATTTTCAGTTTCAAAAAACTAACTGGCCCTTTCTAACTGTGAAATCAATTTTTTAAATCGAGGGCATAATTTTCTTTTTTTTCCGGGCAAACGGCAATTTCGTGAGGTATAAATTCGGGGATTCAATATTGGCCAAAAATTCTTTTTTCAAAATTCGTAAAAAAAACAAAAATACACCAATTTTGTGCTAGAAATTTTTGAACGTGAAGTTACGGTTTTACCTGACCAATAAACCAAAGAATTTTTATTAGGTAATTAACCTACCGACGTTTTTCTAAATTAAACAAGTGTCAATGAAATTTAATTTTATAAATATTGCGTTTTTTTTCATTTTTAAAATTTTTAATGTGGAAAAAACTTTCTTTATGAATTTTAAAGCTGCGAAAAACGTCAGCCTTGTGTCTTTGATAATGCAACCTTAATTATAATTTTGGAGTTTTTGCCCTTTGTTAATTTTTACATTTTAAACTTTGGCATGTACATAACTCCATAACAGGGTCAAAAAAACTTTGTAGGCAAAGGTCCATTTATTAGAAAAACTTTTCCTTTTTATCAAAATTTTTGCCTTTGAAATTGTCCAGGGATAATCTGTAAAACAAAGGGGTTTCTTTTTTGTGTCAAAAACATTCGGGAAAAATCCCCGGGAAAAGGCTCTTATTTTAAAAGAAAAAGATATGTTGGGCAGAAAAAATGACAAAAATAAATCAAGGGTTTTTTAAGAGCGATTGATTCTCTAAAATTTATTTTAAATTTATGCATTGAAAACCGTATTATAATTTAGCTAATATTTAAATTTTGTTTTACGAAACGTTTTTTTTTTTTTTGGTCGTGTTAATTTTTTTAGCTAATTTAGAGCTTAATCATTTATACATGTAAAAAAATTTTTTTCCCATGAAATGAGAAGTGATATTGGAAAGTATCAAGATGTATTTGATTTGCTATACACAAATGTGTCGTTCTGTCTATATCACAGAAAATGCTTCACTTTTCAAATAGTTGGTGCATTTGAAATTGGATAAAACCATCAAAGTAGTGTGGTTCTGCTCGGTTATGATAGATATGTCATGTAATTGGAAACTCCTGGATTTGTGTTTCTGGTTTAATACGCAAAACTATCTGTATCATTCATTATAATAGGGCCGTACCTTATCTTCTACTAACTATCTTACGGTGTGAATACTGAAGACACAAAGAAGGCAGGGACTACGAAAGGTATGTTGGCCGTAAAACTCGCTTAAGCTTGAAAGACAGACTGTTTGTTGACACAACAGCTATAAGGGTTACAACAAGTAAGCATTATTGCATCGGGTAACTCCGGAAAAGGTAAAATCTGTAGTTCAGCAATCTCAAAGCACCATAAATGTCAGCTGAGGAAATAAAAAAAAGTCATGATTATCGTGAGGGTTCTATTGTATTGTATACACGCCTGCTAAAAATTTATGAAGGAATATCACTTTTTTTCTTATAAAAGATGCTTGCTGTTTTATAAATTCGTCTAGCTGTCGGTTATGTATCGAAACAACCGTTCATATACCATATGACCTGTCATTTTTTTATAACTAATAATATATATGTGTACACGCGGCCAGTAAACAGATGAACAAATAGGATCAGAATATATATTGCTCGTGTCAAAGGATACTTCCCTTTATCTTGTCACAAAGATTTTTGCATTTAATTTATAATACTTTTAGTGGCTATTTAAAACGTATCATAAAGATTGTTTATGACGAAAAACGATTGATAATCACATCATACAGACGAACGAAAACGTCGATTTTCTTTTTGACAATATATGTGTGTACTTTTATAATATCAGTACTTCACCTAATCAATCAGACATACTAGTATTTTGGTTTTAAGCACGTTAGAACGAGTAATATTTTTACATCATTAAACACGTACAAAGGACATTTTTACTCTCAAACATATGATCGTTGCAATTATTATAAGAGGAAAAACATTAACTTGGCTTTTGCCATAACAGTTTCAATTTTCTTTTGTTTGTATTTCTAACATATTTTTATCATACTGACTTAAATTTATTGTGACTTTTTCGGCGAACGGTCTCTTCTAACTATAATTTGGTTTGTTTTTCTTACGTATTTTTTTGTAATTTTCATTATAGTGGTATAAATGTAAACTGAAAATTTATATTTTTTGGCACACGGTCTCTTCATGTAAAAAGTCACTGAAGAGACCAGACTTTTGTTCTGAACGAATACATCAATTTGTCTTTTCAAAATAGTTGAACTATAATTTGGTTTGTATTTCTTGTGAAATTTTACCTTTTACACACCCGTACTGTCTGATCATGGTCACCCGTGTTTGCTATTCAGTCAGTGCATATTCATTTTTATCATTCAATAACTGTTAAATTGAAATTTTGAGTATGTTTACACACACGCTAAACCCAAAGATAAAAGTCATGTATATGTAAAAACTATGTCCCTTGAATAGCTAAGGATTTAGTTGATGCAACAATGTCTTTTATTTTGAAAGATGCGCGTGTATAAAAGCATTTTGTTAACCTTGTTTTCATTTACTTACTTTTGCTCGTCATTTTTGTAACATTGATATAAAGCGTAAAATTAAATTCTTAAAAAGAACTGTCTATAGTATGCTCTTAAAGATACTGCTATTACTTTTCTGGAAAGCCTTGGCTAAACTTGAACTGTTTAGGATAATATGAAACCGATACGATAACTATTTAAAATTTGACGCCGACGCCAGGGTAAGTAGAACAGCTCTCCATATACTTCTATAGCCGAGCTAAAAACTAATAGATTTACATTCAAGAAGACGGCACTGATATTTCAAAATAGTATATATACTTATACAACAACAACAACACTTGGTAGTCAATGCATATATTTATTGGTACAGAGAAATGAGCAAATACGCATGCAACTATCCAGTAAACGGCATCCCTTATAAAACAATACTACTGTAATATAAATACTTCCAAATAAAGGCTCCAAGACATACATTAACAAGGCACATACGATATTGAGACTTACATGTCTATGGTGGTCAAAGTGTAAAAATGAACTAAGGGCAATAACTCCAAAATTAGACAAGGCTGTGTTAATGTTTGTTAGCATTGCAGTTCTATCCAATGAGATCCAAAGTCATAAATGAGAGAATTCGAGCTAGAAAAAATTGTACAAGCAAAAGTGTAACAAGCATCATAAAATGATATCAAGGAAGATAAGTATATCTCCAAAAGTAGGAATATGGCTTTGGTTCTTAGACACTGCAGTTCTTCTCACTGGTCTTTATCTTTGTATAAAATGACTCATTTATAGGCAATGGATTAACCATACCTGAATAAGCATTAAATAGATTTCAATTTGCAAATGTTTTGGTGTCTTAAATAAAATGCACAATGGGTCATAAAGTTTCAGGCTGTCATATAGGAAAGTTGGTCTTTTATTCTTTTAAGTCCAGTATTAGCTTGTTCATTGCACTGGCTGTTGAGCTTCTCAAGTTCTGGATACATAGACAAGTTATATCCATAGCTGCAACCTGTAAAATAAGGAATTACGATAATTAAGATGCAGTGACAATCGAGCAGAGACAGGATCTAGCGTAAGTGAATTTCATTAGCATTATTTAAATTGCCGGGCAGGGGCGACGCTTTATTTTAACTTATTTTAAAAGCATTCATTTATTTGACCTTGACAGTAAGGGTTAATTTAGGATTAATGTCATATTTAAAATATTCAAGATGTTTGTTGGGTTGCAAATCTTGTTTGATATAATTTTAAATAAAATCTGTACATTAATAACAAAATTGTAACAATTTACAAAAATTAAATTTCAATTATCAATAATTTAACCTTCAAGGTCATAAAAGACATAAAGGTTTTATCCTAAAGAATGTTCTGTTATAAAATGCATTCAATTCTTTCATTTATATTAAAATTATAGTCAGTTACAACAAAAACGTGAACATTTCAATAATTTGAGGTCAAGGACATTTATGAGTGAAGGTCAAAGTCTTTCTGGTCAACTTGAAGTCCATTTAAAGAAGAGCTGTCACAGGAGACAGCGAAGCTCCTCTAATGAAATACTGGACGCAGTAAGGAAGGCAAATCTATGAAAGAAAATCAATTATGTATAATCATGTATTGAGTTATAGCAAAAAAAATAACATTTGTTTACATTAATTCCCAAGTTCAAGGGGGATATTCTGGAAATGAGTCACGCGTAGATTTGAAACCTTGTTACCAACATACTGTGTGTTAAGAGTAAAAAAAATTATATATTTGAAGTAGATACCTTAACAAGAGGGCCATGATGGCCCTGAGGTCGCTCACCTGTATAAAGGCACCCGCAGCGGGGCCAGTTTAAACCCCAGGACTTTTATTTGAACAAACTTGGAGGACACCCATTAGAAGATGTTTCACGATGTTAAGTTTTTACTACACACATATAATGAAAAACAACGATCTACCCCCCACCTCCAACCTGCCCCCCCCCCCCGGCAGGGCCAATTTTAATCCAAGGGCTTTTATTTGAACAAACTTGGTAGACACCAATAAGAGGATGTTTCATGCTAAACATCTAAGCTCTAGCTCATTGTGTTTTTTAATCAATGACACCCCTGGGGCGGGCCAGTTTTGACCCCAGGGCTTTCATTTGAACAAACTTTGTAGACACTTACTAGAAGATGTTTCATGCTTAATATCTAAACTCTAGCTATTTGGGTTTTTTCAAAGAAGATTTTTAAGTTTTTGCTATACACATATAAGGAAAATCAATGACACCCGGGGCGGGTCCAATTTTGACCCCAGGGCTTTTATTTGAACAAACTTTATAGACACTCACTTAAAGATGTTTCATGCTTAATATCTAAACTCCAGCTATTTGGGTTTTTTCAAAGAAGATTTTTAAGTTTTTGCTATACACATATAAGGAAAATCAATGACCCCCGGGGCGGGGCCAATTTTGACCCCAGGGCTTTTATTTGAACAAACTTGGTAGACACCCATTAGAACATGTTTCATGCTAAAGCTCTTTGAGTTCTTTAAAAGAAGATTTTTTAAGTTTTAACTATATGCATATAGGGAAAATCAATGACCCCCTGGGGCGGGGCCAATTTTGACCCTTGGGCTTTTATTTGAACAAACTTGGTAGACACTCATTAGAAGATGTTTCATGCTAAATATCTAAGCTCTAGCTCTTTGGGTTCTTTAAAAGAAGATTTTTTAAGTTTTTACTATATGCATATAGGGAAAATCAAAGACCCCCTCGGGCGGGCCAATTTTGACCCCAGGGCTTTTATTTGAACAAACTTGGTAGACATTCACTAGCAGATGTTTCATGCTTAATATCTAAGCTCTAGCTATTTGGTTTTTTTCAAAGAAGATTTTTTAAATTTTTGCTATACACATATTAGGAAAATCAATGACCCCCGTGGCGGGGCCAATTTTGACCCCAGGGCTTTTATTTGAACAAACTTTGTAGACACCCATTTGAACATGTTTCATGCTAAAGATCTTAGCTCTAGCTCTTTGAGTTCTTTAAAAGAAGATTTTTTAAGTTTTTACTATATGCATATAGGGAAAATCAATGACCCCCTGGGGCGGGGCCAATTTTGACCCTTGGGCTTTTATTTAAACTAACTTGGTAGACACTCACTAGAAGATGTTTCATGCTTAATATCTTAGCTCTAGCTATTTGTTTTTTTTTTCAAAGAAGATTTTTTAAGTTTTTGCTATACACATATAAGGAAAATCAATGACCCCCGTGGCGGTGGGCCAATTTTGACCCCAGGGCTTTTATTTGAACAAACTTTGTAGACACCCGTTAGAAGATGTTTCATGCTACATATCTTAGCTCTAGCTCTTTGAGTTCTTTAAAAGAAGATTTTTTAAGTTTTTACTATATGCATATAGGTAAAATCAAAGACCCCCTGGGGCGGGCCAATTTTGACCCCAGGGCTTTTTTTTGAACAAACTTGGTAGACACTCACTAGAAGATGTTTCATGCTTAATATCTAAGCTCTAGCTATTTGTTTTTTTTTTCAAAGAAGATTTTTAAAGTTTTTGCTATACACATATAAGGAAAATCAATGACCCCCGTGGCGGGGCCAATTTTGACCCCAGGGCTTTTATTTGAACAAACTTTGTAGACACCCATTTGAACATGTTTCATGCTTAAGATCTTAGCTCTAGCTCTTTGAGTTCTTTAAAAAAAGACTTTTTTAAGTTTTTACTATATGCATATAGGGAAAATCAATGACCCCCTGGGGCGGGGCCAATTTTGACCCCAGGGCTTTTATTTGAACAAACTTGGTAGACACTCACTAGAAGATGTTTCATGCTTAATATCTTAGCTCTAGCTATTTGGTTTGTTTCAAAGTAGATTTTTTAAGTTTTTGTCTAAACACATATAAGGAAAATCAATGACCCCCGTGGCGGGACCAATTTTGACCCCAGGGCTTTTATTTGAACAAACTTTGTAGACACCCATTAGAGCATGTTTCATGCTAAAGATCTTAGCTCTAGCTCTTTGAGTTCTTTAAAAGAAGATTTTTTAAGTTTTTACTATATGCATATAGGGAAAATCAATGAGCTCCTGGGGCGGGGCCAATTTTGACCCCAGGGCTTTTATTTGAACAAACTTGGTAGACACTCACTAGAAGACGTTTCATGCTAATATATCTAAGCTCTAGCTATTTGGTTTTTTCAAAGAAGATTTTTAAGTTTTTGCTATACACATATAAGGAAAATCAACGACCCCCGGGGCGGGGCCAATTTTGACCCCAGGGCTTTTATTTGAACAAACTTTGTAGCACCCATTAGAACATGTTTCATGCTAAAGATCTTAGCTCTAGCTCTTTGAGTTCTTTAAAAGAAGATTTTTTAAGTTTTTACTATATGCATATAGGGAAAATCAAAGACCCCTGGGGCGGGGACAATTTTAACCCCAGGGCTTTTATTTGAACAAACTTGGTAGACACTCATTAGAAGATGTTTCATGCTAAATATCTTAGCTCTAGCTCTTTGGGTTCTTTAAAAGAAGATTTTTTAAGTTTTTACTATATGCATATAGGTAAAATCAAAGACCCCCTGGGGCGGGGCCAATTTTGATCCCAGGGCTTTTATTTGAAAAAACTTGGTAGACACTTATTAGAAGATGTTTCATGTCAAATATCTAAGCTCTAGCTCTTAGGGTTTTTTAAAAGAAAATTTTTTAAGTTTTTTTTTCGGTTGCCATGGCAACCAGAGTTCTGCATGGAATTAAATTCTTTGAACAATTTTTTAAAGGTGACCACCAAGGAACATTCCTGTGAAGTTTGGATGAAATTGGCTTAGTGGTTTATGAGGAGATGTCATTTTAAGTAAAAGTGTACGGACGGACGACGGACGGACGGACGAAAAGCGATCACAAAAGCTCACCCTGTCACTTTGTGACAGGTGAGCTAAAAAGTAAAGAAGTTAAAATATTTCTTTAAAAAATCCATAGTTCAAATGGAGAGAAATCTAAAAATATTGCTTCAAGAGTTATGAACCTTGTCACATAAGATGTAATTGATGATAATAAATATGTATTTGAAATTTGAGGTGGATACCTCCAAAACTAAAGAAGCTATTATATTAAAAAGTAACATTTTTCAATTAAAAAAAGTTCATGAAGAAGATAATTCTTGCAATATTTGTGCTAGAGTTAAGAACCTTGTCACATAGCATGTGGTTAATGATAAGGAACATATATTTGAAGTTTGAAGTTGATACCTTAAGAAATGAAAAAAGTTAATAGTGAAAAATATTTCACTGCACCAAAACTTGAATCTGAAATCTGACGCAGACATGGACGCCGACGCCTGAGCGAGTAGGACAGCTCTCCATATATTATGTACGACTGAGCTCAAAATCATTGAAAGAGGCCTTTTTCACATGATTGGGCTTTCAATGCAATATAAGCTTTTGCAAATGATAACGCTGGAAAAATGCTACATTAACCTTTTTATCCTTCAATTTAATATAATTACATTTAACTTACTAGTATGGTTATCCAAATGCAGTCGGTCAATATAAAATTCTGTTTCTTTAAAGAACAGTGGATCTCTGTTAAGACAATACTCATGCAGCTTGCATGCATTGTCATATATAACTTGTCTTGGGGCTGAAATTAAAAGTAAAAACACAAAAGTTGCATAATTGGTAATTGTATGATAGGGCATAATTTTGGTGTTTACATTGGTTATACACCTAAAAAAGAATTTAGCAGCAAACTTATTTTTATCTGCAAAATAAGGCAAAACAAGATTGCATTTGTGATAAAAACTATGCCACCGCATTAATACAACACTAAATAGTAGTGTAGAAACAGAATTATTTTTTGTTTCTATACAATTGAAGATTGTCATTATGCATAGATCCCTGACATATCTAATTCTTATTATCAGATTAGTGGTAAAATCTATATGTTTCTTGGAAAATGTTTATCCCCTTAATGCCATATATATCGATTTATGATGTTTCAGATTGTACCAAATACTTTATCACTTTTGCTTCTGAGACACTTTTTTTTGTAAAAAACAATTTTGGCAGTTATTCTAAAATTATGCTTTATAAGGTTATATAGTTATATATTTCTTATGTAATGAGCTTTCCATTATAAGATATATCCATTTTTACGTTATAGACAACTTACAAACTGACATAGTTTCAGCTTCAGTCTCCAGTCAGCTTGTTACTGACACATGCAGAGACAAACAGGGGACAAAAAAAGTCAATTCTCATTCTTTAATTGTTGTTGATGACATAGGGTCATTTGATACAGTAACTGTATCTTAGAAAAAGTATGTATATAATATCTGCACTCACCACGTTTGAATCTAGTCCTCAGAATAGTAAATGGTACATTTGGAGACTCATTTGAAGCCATTACTTGAAAACCATAGTATATACCTGAAGAAGTAAGAAAGCACAGTTTTCCTCTGCAAATGGTTAAAAGCAGAGCACTGTCATTATGTGAAAATTACATGTAACAGTGATGAATGGGACTTGAACAGACTGTTGTCCCATACAAACAATGAGCCAAGTATATTATTTAAAGAATACTAGAAACAAGACACCATCAATGATACTGTATTAGTGAAGATATTCAGACAAATACCAGTTCATCCCAAAATCTAGTATAAATCAAATCAACAAAGATGTATCAGTATAGAAGGGTGGTAGTTTCTTGATTTAGTGTCTGTGGGTGACTATTTAAAGTACTTATTATACTATATATATTTCAGTCTTGAATTTTAACATCAAAAGCATTTAAACCAACAACAATAACAAGGTAACTATATATATAGATTACTCACCATGAGGACAGAAGATAGTGAAGACCCCTGGTAAAAGGCTAGGATGTCCAGCATACTTCTTGGTGCAATGTACCTTGTTCTTCACTTGCGATGCATCTTTTTGGAACCGACCCCTGGACCTGTACTTCGGCAAACATGGAAAAAATGATAATTCATCATCCTGACTGTTGTATCGTTGTAACTATATAATAAAGTCAAGTATATAATAACAAAGTCCGATATACATATATATACAGTTTATTTACAAGACTAGTAATATAAAGATATGATCAAGCGATCTTACTACAAGTGTAGCTGGTCAACGACTGACGGATAATTCCAGCCAGGTTACATGTATAGACTAGCTATAGTCTGTTTCAAGATAACAGTATGGTAAACATACTACATCTCCCTTCTTTAAGTATTAAAAAAAAATAATATTCTTTTATTATCAGAAATCAATTCATAATTGCAATAAGGTGTAAAACAAGTAGCACTTTTTCATTCAGAAAATTAAATATAGATGAAACATTGTATGTTCAGAAATGAATAAAATCTATAAAAAATTATAGTACATATCAAAATTATAATTTGTTTTGATAAGAGTACAACAAGTGGTGTGAAAGGTAAAATCATATGTTTATGATGTTTATTTCACCCACTGACTACTTGAATAGCGCTGATTGCTTTTCACCACTCTCCCTGACCGTGTTATATAAGGGCCTTCAGTATTGCGGTTAATCTGATCTTGATTGTTTACACATGTTTGCTCTTTACTTATATCAGGATCAGCAAAAATATTGAGTTGCATTGGGTCAAAGTGTGAGAAATTTTCCTCTGTTTTCAAAAGATGTTGCCTGTTACGACGATAAACAGTTCCATCTTGCGTAACAACGGAATATGACCTTTCATCATGTTTATTGATGATTTTGGCTGGTTCCCAAATTTTTCCTGAACGAATTCTCACGGAGTCATTTACATAAAGGGGGCATAGGGGCTTGGCGTTTTTGTCGTGATTTTTCTTTTGCGTAATCTTTGACCTATCATTATTTTTTATGACGAGGGAAGAAGATATGGTTTTAGGTTGTAACAGTTTGGGAGTGATTCAGTCCACAGTCGAGGGGGGTATTTCTGTATTCGAGCAAAGCTGTATACGGGTTGTGACCACTTTCTTTTGCTTTAGTAAGTAACCTTTTAGCAATTGAAACAGCTTTCTCTGCCATACCATTTGATCTTGGAAAATATGGAGAAGATGTTTTATGCTCAAATTTCCACTTAGCTCTAGCTCTTTGAGTTCTTTAAAAGAAGATTTTTTAAGTTTTTACTATATGCATATAGGGAAAATCAAAGACCCCTGGGGCGGGGACAATTTTAACCCCAGGGCTTTTATTTGAACAAACTTGGTAGACACTCATTAGAAGATGTTTCATGCTAAATATCTTAGCTCTAGCTCTTTGGGTTCTTTAAAAGAAGATTTTTTAAGTTTTTACTATATGCATATAGGTAAAATCAAAGACCCCCTGGGGCGGGGCCAATTTTGATCCCAGGGCTTTTATTTGAAAAAACTTGGTAGACACTTATTAGAAGATGTTTCATGTCAAATATCTAAGCTCTAGCTCTTAGGGTTTTTTAAAAGAAAATTTTTTAAGTTTTTTTTTCGGTTGCCATGGCAACCAGAGTTCTGCATGGAATTAAATTCTTTGAACAATTTTTAAAGGTGACCACCAAAGGAACATTCCTGTGAAGTTTGGATGAAATTGGCTTAGTGGTTTATGAGGAGATGTCATTTTAAGTAAAAGTGTACGGACGGACGACGGACGGACGGACGAAAAGCGATCACAAAAGCTCACCCTGTCACTTTGTGACAGGTGAGCTAAAAAGTAAAGAAGTTAAAATATTTCTTTAAAAATCCATAGTTCAAATGGAGAGAAATCTAAAAATATTGCTTCAAGAGTTATGAACCTTGTCACATAAGATGTAATTGATGATAATAAATATGTATTTGAAATTTGAGGTGGATACCTCCAAAACTAAAGAAGCTATTATATTAAAAAGTAACATTTTTCAATTAAAAAAGTTCATGAAGAAGATAATTCTTGCAATATTTGTGCTAGAGTTAAGAACCTTGTCACATAGCATGTGGTTAATGATAAGGAACATATATTTGAAGTTTGAAGTTGATACCTTAAGAAATGAAAAAGTTAATAGTGAAAAATATTTCACTGCACCAAAACTTGAATCTGAAATCTGGACGCAGACATGGACGCCGACGCCTGAGCGAGTAGGACAGCTCTCCATATATTATGTACGACTGAGCTCAAAATCATTGAAAGAGGCCTTTTTCACATGATTGGGCTTTCAATGCAATATAAGCTTTTGCAAATGTTAACGCTGGAAAAATGCTACATTAACCTTTTTATCCTTCAATTTAATATAATTACATTTAACTTACTAGTATGGTTATCCAAATGCAGTCGGTCAATATAAAATTCTGTTTCTTTAAAGAACAGTGGATCTCTGTTAAGACAATACTCATGCAGCTTGCATGCATTGTCATATATAACTTGTCTTGGGGCTGAAATTAAAAGTAAAAACACAAAAGTTGCATAATTGGTAATTGTATGATAGGGCATAATTTTGGTGTTTACATTGGTTATACACCTAAAAAAAGAATTTAGCAGCAAACTTATTTTTATCTGCAAAATAAGGCAAAACAAGATTGCATTTGTGATAAAAACTATGCCACCGCATTAATACAACACTAAATAGTAGTGTAGAAACAGAATTATTTTTTGTTTCTATACAATTGAAGATTGTCATTATGCATAGATCCCTGACATATCTAATTCTTATTATCAGATTAGTGGTAAAATCTATATGTTTCTTGGAAAATGTTATCCCCTTAATGCCATATATATCGATTTATGATGTTTCAGATTGTACCAAATACTTTATCACTTTTGCTTCTGAGACACTTTTTTTTGTAAAAAACAATTTTGGCAGTTATTCTAAAATTATGCTTTATAAGGTTATATAGTTATATATTTCTTATGTAATGAGCTTTCCATTATAAGATATATCCATTTTTACGTTATAGACAACTTACAAACTGACATAGTTTCAGCTTCAGTCTCCAGTCAGCTTGTTACTGACACATGCAGAGACAAACAGGGGACAAAAAAGTCAATTCTCATTCTTTAATTGTTGTTGATGACATAGGGTCATTTGATACAGTAACTGTATCTTAGAAAAAGTATGTATATAATATCTGCACTCACCACGTTTGAATCTAGTCCTCAGAATAGTAAATGGTACATTTGGAGACTCATTTGAAGCCATTACTTGAAAACCATAGTATATACCTGAAGAAGTAAGAAAGCACAGTTTTCCTCTGCAAATGGTTAAAAGCAGAGCACTGTCATTATGTGAAAATTACATGTAACAGTGATGAATGGGACTTGAACAGACTGTTGTCCCATACAAACAATGAGCCAAGTATATTATTTAAAGAATACTAGAAACAAGACACCATCAATGATACTGTATTAGTGAAGATATTCAGACAAATACCAGTTCATCCCAAAATCTAGTATAAATCAAATCAACAAAGATGTATCAGTATAGAAGGGTGGTAGTTTCTTGATTTAGTGTCTGTGGGTGACTATTTAAAGTACTTATTATACTATATATATTTCAGTCTTGAATTTTAACATCAAAAGCATTTAAACCAACAACAATAACAAGGTAACTATATATATAGATTACTCACCATGAGGACAGAAGATAGTGAAGACCCCTGGTAAAAGGCTAGGATGTCCAGCATACTTCTTGGTGCAATGTACCTTGTTCTTCACTTGCGATGCATCTTTTTGGAACCGACCCCTGGACCTGTACTTCGGCAAACATGGAAAAAATGATAATTCATCATCCTGACTGTTGTATCGTTGTAACTATATAATAAAGTCAAGTATAATAACAAAGTCCGATATACATATATATACAGTTTATTTACAAGACTAGTAATATAAAGATATGATCAAGCGATCTTACTACAAGTGTAGCTGGTCAACGACTGACGGATAATTCCAGCCAGGTTACATGTATAGACTAGCTATAGTCTGTTTCAAGATAACAGTATGGTAAACATACTACATCTCCCTTCTTTAAGTATTAAAAAAAATAATATTCTTTTATTATCAGAAATCAATTCATAATTGTAATAAGGTGTAAAACAACTAGCACTTTTTCATTCAGAAAATTAAATATAGATGAAACATTGTATGTTCAGAAATGAATAAAATCTATAAAAAATTATAGTACATATCAAAATAATAATTTGTTTTGATTAGAGTACAACAAGTGGTGTGAAAGGTAAAATGATATGTTTATGATGTTTATTTCACCCACTGACTACTTGAATAGCGCTGATTGCTTTTCACCACTCTCCCTGACCGTGTTATATAAGGGCCTTCAGTATTGGGGTTAATCTGATCTTGATTGTTTACACATGTTTGCTCTTTACTTATAACAGGATCAGCAAAAATATTGAGTTGCATGGGGTCAAAGTGTGAGAAATTTTCCTCTGTTTTCAAAAGATGTTGCCTGTTACGACGATATACAGTTCCATCTTGTGTAACAACGGAATATGACCTTTCATCATGTTTATTGATGATTTTGGCTGGTTCCCAAATTTTTCCTGAACGTATTCTAACAGAGTCATTTACATAAAGGGGGCATAGGGGCTTGGCGTTTTTGTCGTGATTTTTCTTTTGCGTAAACTTTGACCTATCGTTATTTTTTATGACGAGGGAAGAAGATATGGTTTTAGGTTGTAACAGTTTGGGTGTGATTGGGAGAATTGACTTAGTTCTACGACCCATAAGTAACTGCGCTGGTGTAAAACCACAGTCGAGGGGGGTATTTCTGTATTCGAGCAAAGCTGTATACGGGTTGTGACCACTTTCTTTTGCTTTAGTAAGTAACCTTTTAGCAATTGAAACAGCTTTCTCTGCCATACCATTTGATCTTGGAAAATATGGAGAAGATGTTTTATGCTCAAATTTCCACTCGCGCGTGAAATCTTCAAATTCTTGCGAGGAAAATTGAGGTCCATTGTCACTGATTAATATATCGCATATACCATAACGCGACATATGTACTCTCAGTTTTTGGATAACTGTGCCTGACCTTGTATCAGGTAATAAGTCTATTTCAAAAAATCGACTGTAATAATCGATTGTGACAAGATATTGCTTTCCATCAAACTGGAAAATATCAGTCCCTATTTTTTCAAAGGGTCGGCTTGGAAATTCATGCGGGAGCAACGGCTCTTTCGCATTTGAATCTCTATGTTTTAAGCAGATAGGACATTTTAAAACATAATCTGTGATTTGTTTTGCCATTCCTGGCCAAAACATGTTATCTTTCGCGCGTTCAATAGTTTTGGTAACGCCTAAGTGACCTGTGTGAACCTGCGTCAGCATTTCCTGGCGAAGGTTATGTGGTATTATGACCTTTTGACCACGAAATATCAAGGAATCTTCCACTGATAATTCGTCCCGGTGATTCCAGAATTCGGTTATTTCTGGGATGCACTGTGACCTCATTTCAGGCCAGCCTGCTAGTATAGTTTGTTTCAATATCTGCATGGATTTGTCTTGCGTAATAGCTTGCCTAATGATATCTAAACGTCTATCAGTAACGAACAACTGTTTCGTAATTGAATGTACATGCAGATCGAGACCTTCAATCAATGTAGGCATTGTTTCAGGTAGTGAATGTCGCGATAAAAAATCGCTGACCGGTATATTCTTACCGCTAACATGCTCTACAGTTACTTTGTACTTTTGTAACTGCAGCAGCATTCTCTGAAGTCTAGGAGGGGCCGCCGAAAGGGGTTTTTTCATAATTGACTCGATCGGTTTATGATCGCTTTTAACAATTATGGGTCTTCCATATGTAAATTGATGGAATCGCTTACAGCCAAAAACAATGGCTAACATTTCTTTCTCAATTTGCGCATACATTTTTTCAGTATTAGTGAAACTTTTTGATGCGTATGCAATTGGTCTGCCTCCTTGCATGAGACAACAACCAGTTCCATTCTGGCTCGAGTCGCACTCAAGGACAAGTTGTTTGTCTGGGTCGAAGTAACCAAGAACTGGGGCATTCGTAATGATATTTTTGACCTCCTGAAATGCTTGAGTGTGGGAATTTTCCCATGTGAACTCAACATCCTTTTGCATGAGGCTACGCAGAGGGGAAGTGACCTCAGCCAAGTTTGGCGCGAATTTTGCCATATAATTGACCATCCCTAGAAACGTTTCAAGCTTAGCACGTGTGTTTGGGATTTCAAGCCTCGTGATGGCTTCGATTTTGCTTGGGTCGGGCTTTAAGCCTTGGGTTGAGATAATGTGTCCGAAAAATTGAACTTCAGGAACACCTATGATGCATTTATCAGGGTTAAACCTAATTCCTACCTCCCGTGCGCGATCAAGGGTGTTACGCAAGTTTGCGTTATGCTCTTCTTTTGTGCGACCACAAATAAGTATGTCGTCAACAATAGCGTGAACGCCTGGCAGACCTTGAAATATTTCGTATACCTTTTGTTGAAAAATGTCGCCAGATGAAGATATGCCAAATGGCAGCCTTAAGTAGCGATATCTGCCAAATGGCGTCGAGAAAGTTGTCAACATTGACGATTCTTTCTCTAATTCTACACTCCAATATGCATGAGTGATGTCAAGTATACTGAAGTGTGACGCACCTGTGAGATTAGCCGTCACATCTTCCAGTGTAGGCATCGGATAATGGGGCCTGCAGATTGCGTCATTTAACGCTTTCGGATCTATACATATTCTAAGTTGGCCAGTTTTTGGTTTTTCAACAACCACGATAGAATTTACCCAGTCTGTGGGTTCTGTAACCTTGACAATTATTTTATCACTTTCCATACGTGAAAGTTCTTGTTTAAGCCTGTTTTTCAGTGCCTCTGGTACTTTGCGAGGGGGTTACCTGTAGGAACCGCAGTTTCTTTTACATGTAATTTACATTTACCGGGAAGTTTACCAATACCTTTGAATAAGTCCCCATAGTCAGACATAACTATTTGTTTGGTCATGAGCTCAATATTATGTACTGGCGATTTATCTACTGAGTAGGTAAGGTTTAATAAACCTAGGTCGAGGCTTGACTTTAAACCTATAAGAGATGGGGCGGAAGTGTCTACTACATAGAAAGTTGTATTGATTTTAGTTTCTCTATAGGTGCACTGCAACGTGACCTTTCCCTGAACTTTAATGAGATCCCCTGAATATGAAGTAAGTTTACTGTCCGGGGGTTCAAGTGGGAAATTCAGTCTGAGCTGATTATAGATTTGGCGCGAGATTATGTTTAATGCGCTTCCGGTATCAATTTTGAATGTTAAGCGCAGCTTTTCTGGGCCGATTTGGAGGGAAACAAAAGCACGGTCTGGAGTTTTGTGTGGTGAAAATGAAGCGCTTACCGTATCAATGAAGTATTGTGATCTCTCCTCAAAATGAGTATCACATGGTCCCACAGCACTTAAACCATTAAAATAACTTTGTTCAATGTCATGCACTCTAGTTTTAGCGCGACACGTTTTCTTGAAATGATTCAATTTTTTACACTTTAAGCAAGTTTTTCCATATGCGGGACAAACAGTTCTGTCTCTCAAATCATGTTTTTGTCCACAATTTCCACATTGCTTCACAGGAAGAGGTGCGTATTCTCTCCGTTGGTGTGTAGGCTGTTCGGGGCGTCTTCTCCGTATAGCGTCTACATTACCGGTGTGATATTGTGATTGCCTGTCACCGATGCTCATTGTCGCCATTTGCTGTTGACAGTATTCGAAATTCTGAGAAATTTGAACGGCTTTTGTTAGAGTTAGTTTTTCTCCCTCATTTATTAATTTCTCACGAATTCTTGAATTGTTCGTGCCAAAAACGATGCGGTCACGAATTAACTCGTCTTCCATGCCGCCGTATCTGCAGTCTTTAGCACGGAGCCTTAGGCGTGTTACGAATTTGTCAATCGAGTCGGATCCTTGTGTTTCATTATTGAAACGATACCTGGCAAATACAGGATTAAGCGTTGGTTGTACGTGTTCTTTGAATTTTTCATACTGGATGTTTAATTTCTTTTTGTCGTCTGCTGATAAGTTCCAAGCTTGTTGGATGTCTCTCCCTTTCTCATCTACCCATATTAGGAGATACGCAATTTTTTCTTCTTCTTCTTTTCCTTTCAACGGTCCGTTGAAAATTAATTCTACATGCCTGTGGAATCTTTCCCATGTTTCAGGCAGATTCGAACTATCCCAGTCCATTCTGGGCGGTGTAATTCCAGACATGTCCATGTCTATTAAATATCCACTTTAAATACACGTTGTTAAATAATACAGTAGTTATTAAATCCACAAAATTTCTGACACCATGTTGTATCGTTGTAACTATATAATAAAGTCAAGTATAATAACAAAGTCCGATATACATATATATACAGTTTATTTACAAGACTAGTAATATAAAGATATGATCAAGCGATCTTACTACAAGTGTAGCTGGTCAACGACTGACGGATAATTCCAGCCAGGTTACATGTATAGACTAGCTATAGTCTGTTTCAAGATAACAGTATGGTAAACATACTACACTGACTGTAGGTCAAGGTTGATTTTTGATGATCCTCTTTTGCATATATAAATGGTGACACTGCAATATTCCACAGTTGGTTAACCAGTAGCTGCATATTTGGAGTAACATTTTGATTTTCGAAAACCTCAAATAATACGGGTAAAAAATTATGAACAGTTTTCCACATCAAAGGTTCTTCCCTGATGTTAATCCCTGAAACAATAGCTTTTACCAGGGATTCTACTGGGTTACATGGGCGAACAAAAGAACATACATTACTGGAGATGGAAAGGCAATGCTGTACAAAACTATACGATACAATGGTAGCAGTGTTGGGTTACCATCAATCTCGTTGATAATATCAAACAGTGGCTCAGAAACTTTCTTCACTGACGACAGAAGCTTATTTTTATCGGATTCACTCAGAGGTGATACGCCACGAGCTGAATCTGCTGTGAAACCCTTCAGGAGATGTCTTGTGGTAGCATCTTCAAAAAATGTTTGCTCATAGTAGCTGAAATGAAGAAGGCATATCACCATATTATCATATTACCACCACACAGTAAACCTTTTGACATAATAAGTAGCCCTGAATTCGCAGTTGCTAATGAAGCGTACAAGGCAGCACAGTCAGAAATTAAAAGATCTGGAAAAGGGTCTGTCGACCATTATCCTAAAATTGAAGACAGTGATCTCGTGAAATTGTATCACAGTGTCTTCTCCAAATACTCAGACAGGATTACTGAATCGGGTTCAAATGAACATCCGCCTCTACTTTTGCAGAAGACTAAATGAAAACATGTATTCAATGACCAAAGATACATTCAAAATAAAAACGTATCCCAACGGGAAAAAGTACATCTGCAAGGAAGTGGATGAATTAACAAAAAAATCATAAAGATGACAGTTAGCTCATCTCTGGCCATATGCCTGAAGACACTGACTGTTGTGATCTCTGCCCTGTTAGGTAGATACATTTATATGATAATATTCTGTTTAAGACCAAATTTGTAAATGTTAATGAATGACTGTTTACTTGCTACATCTTACATTGTCCCACTTAATGGTCTAAACCATGCAATTATCATTACTCCATTTAAAACTATAAAGTTATTTTGAATAATTAGTTCAATTACATAAAAAGTTCAATTAAACATTGTATATTAAAGCTGCACGCCTCCAGATGAGCCAAAAAAATCAATATTTAGAAAAATATGGTATACTAAAATTTCAAAAAAAGGTGAAAACATTCAAGATCCAAAGGATATTTACATGCTATAGGCTGTTTAAAACTGCTTTTGCAGTATTTTATCATATATTTGATTTCTACTGCGTTACTTTTGCAGTAAAGGTTGTTTTTGCACTTTTTGGTAGTTTCCTTGGATTGTAAGTGCCGATTGTAATATGTAAATTGCTTTACTTGTTCACCTCACAATATTTTACTTTTAAATACAATTCCAAAATTTTTATGAAAATTAACATGAATCTGGAGGCGTGCTGCTTTAATATTTAACTTAAAGAGTTTTTGGTTCCTGGTCCCCCTTCATGCAATGAGAAAAGATATCTAAAAATCATTTTCAAGGCATGAAGTATTATCTGCTTAAAGGGGCAACATTACTTTACAAACAAAATGCATCTAAGGAAACACATTTTTATTATATCTATATTCACAGGCACAAGTATCGGACCTGGGAAGTAAAAATATGAAGTTATTTTATCAATCTGTTCATATTTTTTCTTCCCAGGTTCGATAATCGTGCCTGTGTCTATATTAATTTTATCTAATAATCTGCAAGACAAATAAATAACTTTTTTTTCTAAATATACTTTATTTCAGCAGAGGTACAGTGTATAATTATATAATAATAATAAAATATTTCTTATTATTCATTTACCTTAACAACATGCAAAGCAAAGTCAATACGATATAGGCCTATATATTTTTGTAAAGTGGGCCGAGTTGACCCGTGCCGAGTTGACCCGTGCCGAGTTGGTATAGGGCCGAGTTGACTCTTTTCCTGACTAATCAGTGATGTAAAACTGTCGGTTATAAACCCTGAACTATAAATAGCATGCAGTGTTAACCTGCAGAGAGAATGTAAACAAAAACAGCTGATTTTACACAGGAGAGGTTTAATGGATGTTTTATATAACTCACAGATTAATTAAAGACATTATTATTTTTGAAGTCAGTTGTTTTTCTTTTTTTTCACTGGAATGCTGTATATCCTTATATCCGGAGTTCCTTGTAAGCATATAGCGAATTAGTTCCTTTTATTCTCTTATTCGATGCTCTCAAAGGAGCATAAATTATTTATTATCCTCCAACATACACCTTCATTCAAGCATGCAGCTTTAAAGAAAAACATAACATAAAACAAGGTTAGAGGGCATGCCGTTAAGCCGTCCCGTTTATTTGACAAAAGATTTACAGGAAACAAAAGAAACAACTCCATTGATCAATACTTGAAGAAAAACTGCAAGTGTACTTCTAAAATTTTCGTGCTCTGCTCTCCGATCCAACCAACCAAACCTAATGAAATTCGATTTCTAAGAAATACTATTTTTAATCAATCGCAGGTAGAATTAATCAAATATAAAATAATTGGAAAAAGCCAAAGTCAGAAATGCTGCGAGCGGGCTACCCAACCCTACTCCGTCTTGGGAGGGGGAGGTAGGAAGCTCCAAAGCTCTAGACAAGCGGCTGCTTCAATCACCTTTTTTTTAAAATTTTTACATCCATGTTCAAACGAAGACTGAGAATCTGAAATAGATAAAACAAGATATCAAAAATCTGTTTAAGGCAATGTTAAATACATAAATTTATTCATGATATTTCGTAATATATGAAAATTATATTTAAAGAAATTTCACAAATGGACGGCGTGAACGTAATGCCTCGAATGACTATATTTTATCAACTTACACGTAAAATCGTGCATAATTACCGCCAAAACTATAACCATTAAAAACACGAGGAATTACCATATGTGGAAAGACACGGTGTATGCACCGTAAATAAATAAATTTATGCTCTTATTCGATGCTCTCAAATGAGCATAAATTATTTATTATCCTCCAACATACACCTTCATTCAAGCATGCAGCTTTAAAGAAAAAACATAACATAAAACAAGGTTAGAGGGGCATGCCGTTAAGCCGTCGAAAAATAAAGAAGGGGAAATCAAAAAATAATCATTGATATTTTAAAATGCTAAAATAAAATCCTGTAAACAAGATTAAAGTTAAGTATTTAATTATTGAAGATATAATTTAAAAACGACCAAGGGCAATTCAATTCTTTAATGCGAAAGAGCATAATATAGTAATTTTCAAAAGCATTTTTAAATTTCCTAATTTTGTGTAACTGATATTTTTTCCCGAAAATTTTTGGGCAACTTAACCTTTTTGTTTTATCATTTTGAAACCTTTCCTTTTTGGGCTTTTTAAATTAATCTTTTGAAAGCCAGTTACCGGGCCCGGTTAGCACCCCCGCGTTTTAAAACTGTTTGTGCCGTAAAAATCAGGTTTCCAAACCAATTCTGACAGTACTTCCCGGAAAAATTCCCTAATCTTGTGTATAAAAAAACCCAAATTTTTTTTAAAACAATGTTTTTTTGCTTTTTGAAAAGAAATTTTTTCAAATAGAAAAAATCATCGCCTAGTTTAATTTCCCCTTTTTTAAAATAAAAGGCTTTAGCGTATTTAAGGACAGGTTTTTTTTCCTGTTTTTCGCTGAGGACTTCTTCCTTTTTTGTTCTTATCTTTTTACTGATCTTTCATAAATAAATGCGATGATCTTCTTAAATATTTACGTCAGAACATTTCAAATTTCTTAATTTCTGAAATGCGAAAGAAATCCGGCAAAACCTATACAACAAAAGTTAATGTTCCTTAATTTTGTACAAATCTACTACGTCAGGCGGAAAGAAATGTAAACATTTTTGTAATATCTTCAGATGTCAAAAGCTTTTTCTTATTATACTGGGTGAAACCGCACAACTTTTTTGCAGCAGTTAAAACTGAATTAACCGTTTTTGACTCGCATGGGGTTTTTTCCACTAAAATAATGCACCCACTCAATGCCATTAGAAACTACTGTTCAACAACATTACTAATTATAATGAAAATTCAAAGCGGGATATATTTTAGCTATTTTCATCTGGTTGCGCACCATGCAATCCATTTTCTGAAGTAAGACGAATATTGTTTCCTGGTTATTGGTCAGATTACTTTTGAAGCACGTTCTTCGGGTAATTTATCTGCTAGATCTTTTTAAATTTGGGATTTTGCTTCAGATAAATGTATGAAAATTTTTCCCAAATTCCAAAAAATTTAAAAATATCTAAAAAATGAAAAATAATAAAAAAATTAAAAGCATGCTGGAAAAATTGAGCTCCTTCCCTATTTTTTTATTTTTTTTTTTTTAAATTTTTTTTACCCCTTTTTTTTTTTGACTTTTCTACAATTTTTCATTTTTTAAATTTCTTTTTTATTTTTTTTCTTTCTTTCATTTCTTTCTTTTCTTTTTTCTATTCTTTTCTCGAAAAACCCTTTTAAATTGTCGTTATTCTTTCCAATTTTCCATTAAAATTTTTCATTCCATTTCTTTTTCTCCTTTATCTTTTCCATATAATTACTTTTATTTCTTGGGCATTTTTTTTGTATGTTATTATATTACTGTATATCAATGTATGTTCGTTGCTAAAACAATCACGTTTTCTCTTTTCATTTCAACAGGTCAATTGAATTTTCAAGTGAATTAACAATACGCATGTCAAAAAGACAAATACTTCTGTTCATTTAACAAAAACGAGAAAAACCACGTGGCTGTCCTGTTTATTAAAAATTCAAGTTACTAAAAATACGAAACAATAGGGGCCCATTAATGGCCCTAGACGCCTCCCTGACCCGTCAAACTCATCCAAAACTTTCCTAGACAAGCATTCTGACCAATTTTCATAAAGGTGCGGTCAAAAATTGACCACTACAATCTTAACGGATTAACCATATTTTGAGCGTGTGCCTACTTTTTTACCCAGGTGACCCATATTAAAATTGCCCTAAAAATTAAAAAAACAAACTTTAGCCCAAATTTTCCCGGGTTTATGGGTTTTAAAACAGTAAACTGGGAGTTTAAAAAATTTTTTCTTTTTTTACCCTCCGGTGACCTTTTTCCCACTGAAAATTTCAAACTCATCGGGGGAATTCCTAGCAACCCCTTTTGCCCAAAGTTTTTTGTTTGAGTCGAAATAATGTGCACCACAGTAGAATGTTAACAAGGTTTTTCCGCACATATTTGGGCGGTGTGAACCTATAGTAGGGTTTTTACATCCAGATGACCCTGTTCGAACTTGGGAATTAGAAATCATTTCAAAAACAAACTTTCAGACCAATTTTACGGGGATATTTGGATCCAAAACAAGAAGGCCACTAGAGTGTTAACAAGATTTTTCTTCTTTTTAGCTCCAGTGACTAGTTTTTCATCCGAGATGACCAAAAAGTTCGAAACTC